AGACTTAACATTTGTTGGTAAGAAAGACAAAAAAGTCTGGATAGTGGACATTGCAATACTTGGAGACAGCAGAAGAGAAGAGAAGGAACTGGAGAAAATCACAAAAGATAAAGACCTGCAAATAGAAGTAGAATGACTATGGCAAAAGAAAGCAAAGATAATACCAATAGTTACAGGTGCCTTAGGTGCAATCCCAAAACAGCTGGAGCACCACTTGAAGACCATCGCCGTTGACAAAATCACCACCAGTCAATTGCAAAAGGCAGCTTTATTTGGAACAGCTTACATCCTGCGACAATACTTTTAATATTATTAAACAACAACTTCTGCCTATCCCAGGTCCTTGGGAAGGACTTGATAGGTGAAAATCACCACCAGTCAATTGCAAAAGGCAGCTTTATTTGGAACAGCTTACATCCTGCGACAATACTTTTAATATTATTAAACAACAACTTCTGCCTATCCCAGGTCCTTGGGAAGGACTTGATAGGTGGACAAAAATGCCAAATCCAGTCTAAACATCTGGCTGACTATGCAACCAACCATAATAGTAATAATAATAATGAGGGTCCTAATCAGAAAACTGAAAGTTAAGAGTGTTTGGGATGGACCAGGGCTGTTCAGAAACCTGTGAAATCCCTTGAAATTCAAGTTTGAATGTTTTAACCTATTAACCTAAATCCTTCCTGCCCTGATTATGTCTGGATATTCCTTATAGCCATAAGAAAAATGCCTATGAAAATGCAGCAGCCAGCAATGAAGCAATTAGCTACAGAGTCCCAGGGCTTATTTATTTAGGCTGCTTAACTCCTTCATGACCAAAAGCAGCTTGAAGCATGGAATCCTTTCATCTTGGAGGAAGAGCTTTAACTCATTAGTAGGTAACAGCCTCTGTTCTGCACAGTGTGTTACAACATAACTATGATTTCATGGTTAAATTATTGTACACTGTGTAGAACACACTAAACCATAAACTCTGTTTTATAAGCCACAATGGCTAGGTTCACATAGCATTCTAAGCCATCAGGATAGCTCTGTACCTTACTCAGAAGAACACACAAACTTAAGATTCCACCAAAAAAGCCCCTTTTCTCAGCGTTATCCATTGGCACTGCCATTTTCATTTATTTTTGCACCCACTTATGCTGGATGAGGAGCTTGGTGATCACAAGGGTTCTGGACAAAGGCCTGGCTCAAAACAGGAAGGGCAGGGGTCATAATGGGAGAAGCCTGATTCAGTCCCCTAAAGGTTTTGTCTAGTGTAGCAAACATAATTGTAGATGCACTGCCTAGTATAATAACTTGCACTTTTACCCAAGAGAGGGTAATAGTTAAGTATATTGTCTTGATGCTGGTGAAAGGTCATCTTACAAGCCCAGTTTTTTCCCCAACTTGGTGACCTTCACATGTGTTGGTCCCTTCTATCATGGTCAATAATCATGGTGTCTGGGGATAATGACAGAGCCCAAAATATTTGGAGGAATTAAACTGAGGAAGGCTATTAGGAATTTTCTCTGTATACCACATCATTTGGATCACAGAATGCTTAAGAATCCACTTTGTCTCCTGCAAAATTCCTCCTACCCTTAGCTCCCAATGTTTGGAGCCTATTTACCCATGACCTGCCCTCTTGGTATTTGTTCAGTCTATGTGATAGAACTCCAATCCGCCACTAAATACAGAACGATATAAAGATGCATGATAACTTATTTACCTGCTTCCCATAAGCAAGAGCCTTGCTGTAGAGTGTGAGGCCTGCAGTCAGTTTCTCCACCTTCTCCTCTTCATTCATTAGCCTGATATCAAATGCATAAGCGTAGCCCTGTTCAGCCAGGCAACGGGCTGCTCTGAGCTGGTGATTTCCCTGCAGCTTGTCTTCTGAATCCAAACCCATTAACTGAGAGAGCTTCTCAGTACACTCAGCCTCTTCTTGCTCATGGTTCAGCCTGTCATAAATGTAGGCCACGTTGGCCCAAGCATTTAAATTCTCGGGCTTTTCTTGAATGATATGCAGAAAAATCTCCTTGGCTTGCTCCACTTCCTCCAGGTAGAAAGAAAATACCCCAAGAAGGTTTTGGATGGCATATTGCTGCAAGCCAGTTTCAAACTCTAATTCATAGAGTAGACTCTCTCGTTTCAACTTCAAGTCTCTCCCTTGGAAACTTACTGGTGCAGAAGTTTCAAAATTTAAATTCATATCTAGATGAAAGTGACCAGGAATATAATCCATCTCATCAATAAGAGTATCAATGTCCACCTCGGCGTCTTCCATTTTCCCTGCTGGAAAGACTCCTCACCAGTCCAGGAGCCTCAACCAGCACCTTTCCAGGATTTCCTTTCTTTCTCTCCGTCCTTTCAAATTTGTTTACCTTTCTGTATTCTCCACCTCTTTCTTTACCAGTATTTCTGGTTTAGCTGATTCACATGAGGTCTGCAAAAGGAGGAGCCGGATTAAATGCTGCTTCTTCCTTAGTCAACCTGCTGCTTCATGTTCACCATTTGATCAGTGAATCGCCCAAAGTAGAGATCAGTTCCGATGAGCCTTATTTTGGCCAGTAATGAGCAAGACACAACGACTTGGAAAATCATCACACTCTAACAGAGAGCAGAGAAATCAGACATTTTGAATAAACTATAGTTATTTATAATAATTATTATAGTTATTTATAATATTTATGATAGTTAAATGTACATACTGCAACCCTAATATACATTTCAAAATCAGTAGGGTGGAGAGCAAAGAAGAGATCTTTCCACATATCATCTATTTAGGATGTCCACACATTATGATCAGTTTGGAGCCTGAGAATCACACTTGGCTGGGAGCATTCTTCAAAACATAGAGGGTGAGGCCAGACAAAAACTAAACCAACTTCATTTCATTTACATTTAAAATTAAATTAGTGAATACAACTGCTAATGTATGAATAATGTAATTAATAATTTTGTGCTTCAGCTCCATTAAGAACGACAATTTAGAAACAAATTTACAAAGTACTGGGGACTTTTCAGGGAAGACACATGTGACTCTGAAGTCTCAAGCTTGTCTGCAGCTATGTTCCAGAATATTAAGTTTGGGACAAAGCAGTGTATAACTTAGGATGAATAATGGAACAGGGCAGGTTATGATTTCTTGCTCACTTATTTTCCCAGAGTGGTCATTAATTCCCAGGTTTGTGTTTGGTTCTGCATTTTGTTGGGATGAGAGAATCCTTGATATTTATTTGTGTTGCAAGTCGTGAAGGAAAACAATAACTCTATTGTCGTATAGCACATTTGCTAACCTACATCAAAAGTTGTCATTGCATCCCAGGTTAGAGTAACTCCAGCTGTCAATTCTCTTTTCAGTTCAAAATGAGGTGCGGACTGGAGGGTCCTGCCACTGCTTCTCTGCCTCTTCTATAACTGAAGAATGTTGTATTCTGAATGCTGGATTGTAGGCCCCTTCAAAAAAAACCTGCCAAAGTTCTTTAAATGTTAAATACTACGTGTTTTAGAATATTAAAATACCAGGCTACCAACAACATGGCATGGACTGGGTTATCTGAGAGACCACCTCTCCCTGATCACATCAGCCCATCCTATTAGATCTGGCAGGGAAGGTATGCTACGGATTCCATCAGCCAGGGACTTGTATTTGGTGGATCCCAGGAGGAGAGCCTTCTCTGCTGTGGCTCCCTCCTTGTGGAACACTCTCCCCCCGAAGTTAGGCTTGCCCCTTCTCTGCTATCATTTAGGAAGTCCCTCAAGACCTGGTTATGTCATCAGGTCTGGGGGTCTTTGGAAACCGGAGACATTCTTAGATGGCTCCACTATGATTGATATTCTGCTCTCTCCATGGGGTTTGATTATTTTAAACTTTTTGATAATATTTCCATTTTAACAATTCCATTTTATCTTTTTATAATGATTGTTTTTCATTTATGTGTTGTTTTCTTAATTGTTATACACCGCCCAGAGTCGCCTTGTCTGAGATAGATGGGTGGCTCTATAAATGTGACAAATAAATAAACATGATGAAGCATTATACGTTAACCTGACCTTGCTAATACACAACCGTGTGTTATTTCTTCAATGTGTATAAAGAAATCTGAGATCATATGTTTAGGAGGGAATGGTTCATTAGCATCAAGACCACACTAGCTGAAAATTATGAGAGTTGTGTTCTAATACTAGGGACCGGCATGATCAATATAAATCACCGATGTGTTACAGAAGAAAGAATAACTGTGGTATGTGTCCTTCCTGAACATATCCATGGCATTCTTTCTGCTACCTTTTCTTTGCTATTACTTTAGAACTGCCATCCTGCCAAGACCAGCTGGGGAGGATCTAACAATCTCTTCCAACCAAAGTCCAAGATTGAGTCAGAATAGCTGCCAGCAGCACTGACAAGCCTTTGTGAACATAACTGGTTGCCCTGAAGACACACCCCTGTCAGGACCATGGAAACAGAAGCTCCAGCGTCCAGTGTTGTCATGGCAGTAAAATTCCAGAGCCATTTTCTGCTGCAGCTGCCAATCAGGAAAGTGATCCTTCTTTTTCTTTTCTTCCAGATAGCAGAAGATGGAAGATGGAACCAAAGGGCTTCACAGGAGCCCCCTTTTGGACTCAGCAAGCCAGGTAAGGACAACTTCAGCAGGATTCAGGGCAGGTGCATTTCTCTCTCTCTCTCTCTCTCTCTCTCTCTCTCTCTCTCTCCACACACACACACACACACACACACACACACACATCTCCAGTAGATAATCTTCCTTTGTATTACCAAGCCTTAACAAGGATCATACATCAAAGATGTAAAAAAAGACCAGGTAAGCATATCAAGAGGCATTGCCGTAACTACTCAAGCCACCATAATCTGGACCAGTAATAGCGTCCAAATGC